ATGCTTATCCTACCGTGAGACATTATGTCACAGATCCCTCATGGCGCCAGTACAGCGCCGAGTACCTCAGAAAGTTGTCCTGATTGTTTCGAATGTACGTGGGGAGCCGATTACTGATGCCGAAATGCTGCACAAAGTCTGCCGTGGTGTCGCGTACAATCGCAGAATTGTTGATCATAGCATTATCGTTCAACACGGACGGCTGAGGCGCTGGGGGAACTGAGGGCGCTGCGGGGTACTGCTGGGGCGGCTGAGGCGCTATCGGGCAGAGGCGCTGGTGCGGACGATCTTCTGTGGCGCTGTTTGATTTCAGGTGCTGAGGAGGCCAAGCACTGGAAGGCGACGGCGGGACGCCCACGCCAGAAAATAAATAGTTAAAATAAACGTCGGATACATTAGAATGTACTCGGCTTCTGACGGCAGGTTTTTTCCCCTTCAGGGGTTTTATCCTGAGCCGTACCTTATGGTCTCTTTTCCGCGGCTTTGATGCAATGGAGAGACCATTTGGGGTGAATACCAGAATTCGAAAGATTAGAACGCGAAAGGATGTAGGTATTGTAATGGCTTAAAGGCCTTCGGCCAAGCCACATAGGATCAAGTAAGCTAATTTGTTTATAATAATTACCTATTAAATAAAATAATAATATTATCGTTCAACGCTCTACTGCTCGTGTAATATTGTTAATGTCTTTATAACAGACAACTGACGACAAAGCGAGTAGAGACGGGAATGTTCTTCGTGAGCAGAATGGAACATTCTATTGTCCAAGTATGAATATTCTCGTTCTTAATGCTGTAAAACGTTCTTCAATTTTGTAATAATGACCAAATATTAAGGAACGTTTACTAATAAAACCACCTTTTATCTTTATCTACCTTCACATTTCTTCTATCAAATAATTACTGAAGAGTTAAAGGAGAGGCGTATAGCTTCAAAGATAAAGCTGAAGGAAAGATCAGAAGAAGAACTGATTCCATAAAGCAAGTATACTTTTTCAATGGTTCTCAAAGCATTCTGGGCCACGCGTGCGAGGGTTTAATGGATGAATGGCGAGGATGATGATGTTGATATGATTCATTTGATGACGGAGCAGTGATGGAATGATAGGCAGAGGAAACGGGAAATCACCTAGAAAACTGACCCGAACCGGCGTCGTCAAACACAAATTCCACATAAGTCGACCTAGGCTTTGAACTCTGTTAACCAAGTGTGGAAGGGAATTCATCTGATCAGGACCCTACGAATTGCTCAGGGCAAGTCTCCCGCAGTAAGGCAGAGTAGTAATTAGAGTGACAATTGCCCAATATGTGTGTTATGTATTACTTTTTTTTGAAACTGTATTTAAAAAATTATACAGTGAGATTAATTAATAAGTAAAGACATAAAATAAAAGAAAATTCATAGATCCTAACTCTGTTCTTTACATACGCGGCTTTATTTGTAATATTTGACGGGACAGCCTTTATTTAAAAAAAAATGAGCAACAATGTTTGAAAAACTTTATTCATAATAATAGCTAAACAATTTATTAATTACTTTCAATTACTATATTTTTAACTTACAAACTACTATTTGAAAATAAGCCATCTGATCGAAAGTTTATGAATATTTTTATTACATTTACTAAAAGAACGTGTTCGAATTTACATTCTGACACGTTTCATTTATAAAATTATACAGTGAGATTAATTAATAACAGGTATGTATAATAATTTATATTCTTAACCCCGACAAGGCATCAATTGTCTGCGATGAAGACATAATGTTGCTGGCTTCCCGCTAAACAGAGTGTTAACTACCACAGCCAGCGCAATGCACTAAGAAAACTACGACGCACGCTCCAGCAGATACGGCCACGGGAATGGGCTATTGATGGGTTTTTTCATCACACAATGCGAGAACGCATATGAGTCGTAAAGCAACAAACGCATTTGCAGCGATGGCATTTACGAAGCCTCCCCACTCTGTACATTCGTTGGAATTGGCCTCTTCGGACTTCGCATTGTTCGATAAAATGAAGGACTCATTGCGTCGTCGGCCTTTCTATCGAAAAAATGCAACCCGCCGTACATGTCTTGGGCCTCACTACTCCAAA